AAGTATTTATTTTTTTAATCTTATTTTAAGAATACATGAACATATCTCATGTGGTTGAGCTTATTTTATACCTGGAGATGGCAGAAGGTGCTAAAGCTGAGATTATTTTTGTAACACATCTCTCCATGACTTTGAAGCCTGCCTGGCTGCCCACACATCTGAAAGACTCATGAGAAGTCTTCCTGCATGCTTCCCTCCTTTGTGTTTTAATAGAAACATGGGAAGCTAAGGAGACTGCATCATGTTGGGGAGCTGTTTCTAAAAAGGAAGACCAGCACTTGGTCTTCCTTTTTAACTGAAGAAGGCAATGTACTCTACCCATCAGTGCATCACTGAAACAATCTTCTCCTTTGAAAGATATCACCAATAGCTTTTCATCAATTTAGATAAGGTGAAGAAAAATTCAGGAATAGTTTTTTTCTGTATGGAACTGTTATCAATTCAAGTGACCTATATAGAAATGTGGGCTAATAGACCGAAGTGGTTGTGTATTCCTGAGTCATTCATTTTATGATTAAAAGGGGAAACATGTCTCATTATGGATAACATTGCTGTATTTATCATTAGATGTAAAATAATAACTTTAATAGTATTCCTCAGCCACGTAGCTTTCATAGAATTATAATTTTGAAGTTGGACGTTTCGGCTATTGTCCAACTCCTATATAGTGCAGAAATATAATTAAAGCACTCTCAAGATATGGTTATTAAGCAACTGCTTGAACAAATCCAGTGAAGCGAATCTTGCAGTTCTCTGGATAATTGGGTCTACTGTCACATTACTTGTAATTTCTGGAAGTATTTTCTAACATTCACTTGGAATCTGCCTTCCTGTAAATTAAATCCATTATTCTATGTCATGCACTCAGAAGATTGGCCTTCCTTTCAAAAATTTGATGAGGGACATCATATTCTATCTCAGTCATTGTTTTTTAAGGCAAAAGATACCCAGTTCCTTCAATCATTCTTCATAAGACTGAAATTTTCAGTTTCTTTGAATATTTGCAAAAGCAAACTCTTGAGTTATCCATCTATTGGGATAGTTTGCACTATTTCTTTGTGGTATACACAGAAGTGCTTTTCTTTCATTTTCATTATACTTTCATGGAATTTCAACATGGAGAAAATGGTTGTGTGATTTTGCAACATTATCCCAAAAGAGACACACAGCTTGCATTCTGGAATGTTCAGGGACTCAGTATTGAGTGGCACTGAATTCAATGCCAATACTTCATGGGGACAGAGAGGAGAAAGGGTTTGCTCACATATACACCAAACAAATCCCAGATAATTAAAACAAAGACTAAATTCTTGATTATCCTTATTTTTAGTTATTACTTTAAAAACTAGGGACAAATAAATTTAAATGCTAAGTGTAATCCAGCCAGCTCAACATTGGGAGAATATCTCTAATAAAATTTAAGTGACCAACAATGAGGTTTTCTTTGGAGTTTTTCCTACATGTATTGTATAGGGTATCTTATAAGTCATGACTTTGTTTGATAATTCTTGCATAGGAACACACTTTTGGCAGCCATTGCCGACATTTTTTGAACAGGAACTTGGTGTTTCTTAACCCAACCTGTTTGATGCATATTTTTTGCAAAATACAAGCTCTTTTACTCTACAGGTGATCCTTGTTTAACAACCACTTAGTCAGTGACCTTTCAGATTTGCAACAACTGAATGAGTGGTAGTTATGAACAGTTCTCAAAGTTCTGATCAATGCAGTCCTCCTAGGGACACATGATTGCGAACCAGCTGCTCAGCAACTGGCTCAGATTTCTGACTGTTGCAGAGTCCTGTGATCACATGACCATGATTTGTGACCTTCCCTGTCAGCTTCATGCAAGTTAATGGGGAAGCTAGCAGGAAGTCACAATCATTTAGGACCTTGCCTAATGACTCATGTGGTTCTTGGCTAATAATGGTAATTGGGGACTGTTGGAATTGCTGCTGCTGAATATCACAGGAACATCATGTCATACTTTGACTGCATGACTTAGAAAGAAATTCTGATTCCAGTTATTGTTGTTAACTGAGGACTACCTGTGCATTTAAAATCAATAGTCTGTGAATCAGCTCTAAAGATGTTTAGCATTATCTCTAGAAAGTCATCATGTGTGATATCACACATCAACTAATATGAGACAGAAGGACATATCTAACTTACTCATAGTTAATTACCCTACTGGTTAATGCCATTGGTTTAAAAAGAAGACGTAGAAGAAAAGGCCCCCAGAGCATAGCTGGCTTTATCTTGTTCTCCTTAACCTTTTTATATAGGTGGTCTCCACACCAGGAGACGAACCTGATTGGGCGGGAGACTGGAGCCCCGGAAGGAAAACGGGCGTCTCCTACCTGAATTGGGAGGGTTGGCAGGTACAGCATGTGCTCTTATGTGAGTCTATGGGAGCATCTAGTTTTCTTCTCCCTCACAGCATTGGAAGTCTCCAGTTCTGAAAGTACCAGTCTGGTCTTAGTCTGTGGCTTTCTCCATAACAGTGATGTGAAAATGTAAAGCATGAGACGCATGTCCTTTCAACTCATGCATGTGTGCCTGGTGGTGTACCATCCTCCACAGGTACTGTCGCAAAGGTGTTTCTTATAGGGAGGTCTTCTGTTTGGCATAATTGTTTTTAAATTTTCCTCCTTCTCCTTCTCTTCTTAAAAAAACAAAACAAAACAGAATTCACTGAAAAATTCGACCAGGCGGAAGAAAAGAACCTCTTTTAAAAGGAAAGTCAGTAAAAGAGGAAATGAGGTAAGTCTTTCAAACAATTTATTATGATTATAAATTAGGGGAAAAATAATCGTAACAAAACAAAACAACCGATCCATTTTGATCCCTTTCAGTTATTTTAGCTGACATATCCCATTCTATTCTAGAAGCATGTTATACTTATGCTAAATATGATATGTTTGGTGATTAATGATTAATTAATGATTATTAATTAGAGGAATTAGTGACTAATTAATTATTATTAATTGGGAAATTGTCATAACAAAACAGCTGATCCTATCTGATTCCTTTCAGTTATATTAGCTGACATATCCCTTTATATTCTAGAAGCATGTTATACTTATACTAAATATAATGTATATTTAGAGAACAGTAATTCTTTCTCCTCTCCTCCCCAAGTCCCATCCTAAACCCAGTTCATATTTTCTGCTTGGTTGAAAATGCATATCCCCAAACTGTTATCTGTGGAGACTCCTGTCTCTTCTGTTCAGGACATTTGGATTGAATTTTACAAAGATGTAGAATGGGGTTAACTATTCCTCATCTTCCTCATGAAACTGTACTGTGGAATCACATTCTGAATCTTTATGATGAGTTACTCTTTTCTTAATAAGAAGTAGTTTGGGTATTTTATGGCTGGGAATTCTGTACTACTAATTAAAGTGCTTGCTGCAAGTTTCTGCTGATGTTTTCCTTTTCTTTCTCTAGGAGAACAAAGGACGACCTTTTGTAATTAAGCCTATCTCTTCCCCTCTCATGAAACCCTTGCTTGTATTTGTGAATCCCAAAAGTGGAGGGAATCAGGTAAATATGGGTCATCAAACACAGAATGTGCTTGTACCAAGAAAGGGATTTAGAAAGTATGTCAGAAAAAAGATGTCTCAAACTTGATGAAAGAGTTAAAGATTGGAAGGAGGTTCTAAAATAAGATAGAAAATATTGCAGTTTGTGGTTGAACTGAGGGTCCTTGGTGCTCTCTGAACTTGATGGTTTTCTTGCAGATGTTTCACTACCAAACTAGATAATACCATCAGTGCATCGAAAATAAGAGTTCTCTTAATGTGACACTAGTGAAATACTTCATCATGCATTTTAAGACTGAGATACAAGTTAATTGATAGTTTTCTTTTTTGTCCTTTTCAGGGTACTAAAGTGCTCCAAATGTTTATGTGGTACTTGAATCCACGTCAGGTCTTTGACCTATCTCAGGAAGGACCAAGAGATGCGTACGTTCTGGGCTGTTTAGTTTGACTCATTCCTTATTTTCATGTGAGGCAACTCAAAACACATTGGAGGCGAACATTGCCATCTCCAATAATTAAAAACATGAAATGGCTTCTGGTCATGATGCCTGAAAGTTATGGGAATTCCAGTTCCAACAAATGCAGAGAGAATTAACTTGAGAAAGAGGACTTGACAGCAACTATGCCTTAAACTGTTCAGTTTTGACAATTAAATTTATACCTCCTGGTGCTTATTATTACCCTCCTCAGTGGGCACCAGGCAATTTTGAACAGCTAGAAGCCACACTTTAAAAAATGGGGAGGGGTGGCAGTGGAAACTGTAATAGACACAAAAATTACATGAGAATGTCAAGTAATTGATTGATATGGGCATTTCCAGTAATGCTTTGAAAATGGTTTGAATTTTTAAGGGGAAAATTTAAGGTGTGTCAATGAATACATTAATTTTTTCAAATGGCAGTGAAAATGACTATTGTCAGTGGTGGGATTCAGCCAATTCTCACCACTTCGGCAGAACCGGTAGCTAATTTTTTGTTGCCCAGGCCCAGAATGGACTTCTGGAAGTGGTATCCATACAGAAAACTGGTTGTTCACATATTTGAATCCCAACACTGACTATTGTGTATCCATTGAGGACAGCAAGCCATGAAACGTGTATTGATACATTATGAAAAACTCCAAACCTTCCTTCCTTCCTTCCTTCCTTCCTTCCTTCCTTCCTTCCTTCCTTCCTTCCTTCCTTCCTTCCTTCCTTTTTTTTTGCAAATAACTTAAGGCAGCAAATATATCCAACACACCTTCCTCCTCCTATTTTCCCCACAACCACAACCCTGTGATATGAGTTGGGCTGAAAATGACTGGCCTGAGGTCACCAGGCTGGCTTTCATGGCTAAGGCAGGACTAGAACTCACATTTCTAACCTGATGCCTTAACTACTAAACCAAACTGGCTCACATATTAATGTGCGACTGGACATGAAGCCAAAATAGCCTTAGGCAAATGGTGGGAGTAGAAGAGAATATTAATTTCTTCCTCTTGGCCAAAATCCTGACTAAGTGCCATATAAGAGCCCTAGTGGTGCAATGGTTAGAATGCAGTATTGCAGGCTAATTCTGCTGACTGCCAGGAGTTCAATCCTGACCAGCTCAAGGTTGACTCAGCCTTCCATCCTTCTGAGGTTGGTAAAATGAGGACCCAGATTGTTGGGAGCAATATGCTGACATTTTTAAATGGCTTGGAGGGGGCTGTAAAACACTCTGAAGCGGTATGTAGGTCTAAGTGCTATTGCTATTTTTTTTTCAAGCTTTAGTTTGAAGTTCAAAGAAAATCCCCAGTAGCATTTGCAAGGCAAAGCAAGGCAAAATAAATAAATAGATCCAAATAATTGTGGTTGTTTAGGTAGTTTTACTCCATTTTCCAAGAGTCACAATCCCAAATCTGGTCAGGCTTCTACTCCTTGGGGACACTAAGAATTGAAGTACACATATCTTAAAGTTGCTGAAATTGGTGATCCCAAAATGCTAAGCAAAGTCAGATCTGGTTAAAACATGGATGGGAGATTATTAATAAAACCGAGACTGGGAGGTTACAAATAATCTAAAAGAGGGCCATAGTTTGCAATGTCTCTGTTGTTACCAAGAAATGTTTTAGTGTCACAGAATACTATTTGAAGGTTTTTAAAAATCTTCTTTTAAACATTTACTCTATAAATTCCTGTACAGAATGTTTTTAAAGCCACAAGATGGCACTCTTGGATATTGGCTCATTTTTATCTGATGTGCCCGTATTCCTGGTATTTTCAAAAGCAGAACGGTCTCATTTTGTTTTTGTTTTTTTTAATGTTTTTCACTATGTCTGTATGTGAAAAAAGGCTTGACGTAACCAAGAGAATTGCTAGCTGATACTGAGCCAAGTTTTATAAAACTTGTTTTTGTTTAAGCATCAGAGTACATTTTGCTATTTCTGGGGTAACATTCCGCCAGTCAATTTGCATAATTGCTTTAAACCAAGGAACTGTTTTGTGACATAGTGCAAAATGTGTGATTTAGGCTGCTAACTGGTAAAAAAAAACCCTCAAAATTCATTTTCTTCAATACGGGAAAAAACCCTGCACCGATTACCAACTTTTCCAGGCTCACTTGCAATTGGTGGCTTTAACTTTTCAAGTCCTGAATATTTTAAAGTTTGGCTAATTACTGGTCTACCTGTTTCTGAAAGGCCTTTTTAAAAATGATATGAACCCGTGTACTATTCTGAGAAACTTGAACCAATAATCCCAAAGGTGCTTTCTTTATCTCAAAAGGCAACTGGACTTTCTTGTTTTTTTTTCTTTGAAAACATTTTGCTTCTCATCCAAGAAGCTTCTTCAGTTCTAACTAATTGGTGGGGAATGGAAAGAATTATTTAAATCATATAAATAAGGATCATGTAAGGCCTTCCATTTCCCACTGGTTAGTTAGAACTGAAAACGCTTCTTGGATTAGAAGTGAAACATTTTCACAAGGAAAAAAACCCAAGAAAGTCTAGTTGACTTTTGAGAAAAAAGCACCTTTGGGATAACTATGATCTGGATAATTGAGAATCGCCATAGACACATGACCCAGTAACTTCTGTAAAATATATATTGCCTTCCTCACCATATCTGATTTTAGAAAAGGGACTGACTTTAGAAGAGTCTGACTTTGCCTGAATGAAGCAGTTGGTATGGCAAAATCAATTTCTATTTCTTGTACGAGTCCAGTTTTATTTGCGCTCCTGATAATAAAGCTCGACTAGGATGCCTTGATCATACAGAGGCATTTCTAAAATCTGTCTTCATGATAAAAAAACCAAAAACTTTTGTCCTCTGGTTTCTTCCACTAGGCTTGAATTGTACAGAAAAATGCCAAATCTACGAATCTTGGCTTGTGGTGGCGATGGAACAGTAAGGCCAATTCCTTTTCATTAGCTTTCCTTTTTAACAATAGGAGGTACTGCCAATGGTTGTTGGTGAAATTACTAAAATAAAATAGGTTTTAAATGTTTTTTATTGACTTTAATAGTTGAATTTTTGTGATCATTAGCTTGGGTTTGAATTGTGTACGCTACTTGGAGTCACATGCAAATGAGATGAGCGGCTATATAAATTCAATCAATCAATTAATCAAATCTCGCAGAGTAGAGTTATCTCTCTATCTTTCTACGTATCTCTCTATGTCTCCTTCTCGTCTTCCCTCCATCTCTCCCTCTGTCTCTCCATGAGAAATAACACAATATTGAAGAATGTAATATTGACCTAACTATTCAATATCACCTATCAAAACCTTTAAACATAATATATTTTAATGAGAGTTATTCACTCACTCCATTCACACATGCTTGTCCAACATTTGTCAGGTAGAACAGAGTATTGATTGTTTCTTTTGTGAATGGAACAATCTAAATGTTTGTTAATGTTTTTTTTAATCTATGCCTTGTTCTATTCACACAAGGAAATTATGTTGCAGTAGTCAGGTGTTCATCATGACAGCATGAGAACAGTGTGCAGAGCTGAAGTCTGCAAAATCAAACAATGCCCGTGCGTATGCGCTCGTAGAATCCTATGAATGCTTATTGTTTAGTTTTATTCTTCCTTTTTTTCCAAGATGGTTTTCTAAGATACATTTATGGAGGACTGGGTTTATCTGTTTAATGGATCTGGAACCCCTCTATGCCATTGGGTTGGATTTATTGCTTTCAATATCTTTTCCCTTGCATTTCACATTTTGAGCGAATGGGGGCAGTACCGTCTCATCAGTATGAGCAGTGCCTGATTTATCTTTCTTGAGATTATATTTGAAGGAAATTAATGTTGTGTTGTTCCAAAAGCCATTACATTTAGAAATGAAAATCTTGTTCAAATGGATCTAGTGAATATTCAGTAGATTAGTTATTACTTTGCATTATTGAAAGGAAACAGAAAGGAGAAGATTTTTCTCATGTCCCTGTTCAGAATTAACCTTTTTTAAAAAAATGATAAATGGAATATTGTCAGTTCAAATTCTTCCTACCCTCAGATTTTTCCATCAAGCTTCAAAACTAATCAGGTGGCATCCTATCCCAAATCCAAAATATCGTGCTGAGGAATTAAGTCCCTGTGAATTATTTTATTATGACTTCTAGAATACATAACAATGTCATTTCCTAAAAGGCAAATGTTAAGAGCAACACTCAGCCATATTTAGAATTCCTGAAGTTTTATATATCCAAAAACAAATCTAAGGTGGGTCAATTCATTTTTATTGATGCTGTTCCACATAGTTTTCAATGGAAGGCATCTCACTGATTGTTCTTATAGCAATTCCCTTAAATATTCTTTCTTAACTAATATGAATTGGTGTTTGGCAGGGGAACAGGGGAAATATGGATAAAGGGTTATTGACATCAAGAGCTCTGGTGGCATAGTGGTTAAACTGCAGTATTTCAGGCAAATTCTGCCCATAGCTTAGAGTTCGATCCTGATGGGGCTCAATGTTGACTCAGCCTTCCATCCTTCCGAAGTTGGTAAAATGAGGGCCCAGATTGTTGGGGGCAATGTGCAAATAATGCTTACATTGTAAACTGCACAGAGTGCTGCAAAGCACTATGGGGCAGTATATAAGCCTAAATGCTATTGCTATTGCTACCTATATGCTTTTCTCTTGGACAGGATGGAAGCAGTATGTGTTGAATTGTTCGGTTATACCTTATATTGTATCATTCACAGAGAAAAAAAGCCATAGCTAGTGTAATATAGCTCATTCTTTGCAGACATCCACTGATCATTCAGATTTTTGCAATGCAGATATGGTAGCCGCACACTGTATCTGTATTTCCCTCATCCATTTATTTCCATGAGCCTTCAGGTCCTGACGCTTCTCCATCAATTTCTTCTATGAACCACACATTGACAGGAATAAATAGCACTACCTAGAATTGTAACCATAAATTCTGGTTAGACCCATTTTTTCTGTGCGGTCTAGACATTTACTTCCAATTCTGTCATTGTTGATGCTTAGGTTGGCTGGATCCTCTCCATTCTGGATGAGTTACAGTTGAATCCCCAGCCTCCTGTGGCTGTGCTTCCACTCGGCACTGGGAATGATCTTGCTCGGACTCTCAACTGGGGAGGGGTAAGTCTGAAGAGAGATGTGGCTGGTTGTCATTTCAATTTTTATTGAAAGTAAAGGAGGCGGCTCAAAATGTAGAAGGAAATGTATAAAAATATTCTTCTAATTGGTGCATTATTTTTCTTGCATAGAGTAGAAAGTTTCTACTTCAACTTTCACTTTTATTCCTTTCTTTTTTCCATTAAATGAAATAACCATAACCATGGCAGAGTTAGTTGGTTAGTTGAGCTGAAAACTATACTTAGTTTCACATCATTCCCAGTATAATCTAACATTTGTAAAAATTTTACACATAATATTTTATGGATTTCTTGTGCCTGGTCTTGTCCATGTACTGGTGATGGAAATTATCAAGATTTAATTAGCTGCATTTGAGTAAATACTGATGAATATCCCATAGACTAATCAATGCAGCATTTATTCAGGCAAAATATTGATTATTTACACTTGCTTGTTGTCTATCCTACTTCAGGGATATACTGATGAACCTGTTGCAAAAATTCTCTGTCATGTAGAAGATGGAGCCATCGTTCAATTAGATCGTTGGAATCTTCAGGTTGAGAGAAACCCTGATTTACCCCCAAAAGAACTTGAAGATGGAACACAGAAGGTTAGTGTGAAATCTTCCTCCATAAAATAAACTAGAATTGGGAGATCAGTCACTATTCAGAGTGGCTATGGAATGTTTCTAGACATGGAATCCTACTATTTGTTCAGTTTTGACCAGCTATTTTGGCTATTTATTCTTTCCGGACCTGTCAACAATTAGCCAGTAAACAGGAAATAAAACCCACTCACTAATGAAAGTGTTAGGAGTTCCATTTATGAAAATCCCTTGTCTATCTACTAGCAATTCCAATTTATATTCTACTTTACGAGTATGAGTAGACAATATTGTTCCAAAATTACATATACTTGTACCTGTAATAACAAAGTCAACTTTGCTTAGTGAGTCCTATTGTTTGCAATTCTATTTTATTTTTTTATATTGCCTTTTCTACAAAGTTTCTTTCTTTCTTTTTTTACTTCTGATCTCATCACTGCAGCTCCCCCTCAATGTTTTCAATAATTACTTCAGCCTCGGATTTGATGCCCATGTCACGCTGGAATTCCATGAATCTCGAGGTGAGAGAACTAAAGCTATCTCTCTCACAGTGTGTGTCTAGCGAAAAGGATTTGATACACTTAACATGTGCCCTAAAGATGGCCGGTATGTTTTTAATGCCTATGGAATAGATAGCATTTTGCCAGCTATGAAGTTACAGTATAGAGTGGGAGAAAAGAGGGATGAAAACTATTCCTATTCTTAAGAAAATAATAGAATAGCTAAGAAAAAAGGGAGAAATGTTAGTTTCTCTTCAGAGAGAATATGTATTGTATTTATTGTTGGTTTAGGCCAGTGGTGGTGAACCTATGGCATGCGTGCCAGAGGCGGCACTCAGAGCCCTCTCTGTGGGCACGTGCGCCATCGCCCCAGACCCGCCTTCCCCCGCAGCCCCCTCCTCACCAGCATCCCCCCAGAGGAGAGTCGCCCCTGAGCGCAGCCTGCGTGGAGCAGTGCAGCCAAGGACATGGCAGCCGAGGTGCGGGGACAAGATTTCGCCCTCGCACCTGTTGCGCGCAGTTGATGCTGCGGGGTGCGGGCGGAGGGTGTGACTGCCATGGTGCTGCTGGGATGCCTGGGTGATCTGTGGCGGGCCGTGGAGGTGGTGGGGGGCTGCGCGGGCAGGGGGGGACAGTTTTTGGGCACTTGGTCTGTAAAAGGTTCGCCATCACTGGTTTAGGCAAACAGTATCAGCAAAAGTTAAAAGATTAGTATGTGCTAGTGCTCTGAATGTATTAAAGATACTCTAGATATTTAGTCAAAAGATGAGGAAAATGTTATCTGATATATTTTTACCTGTTGTGAAGGTTTCAACAAACAATGCACTCCAAATCATGGTCAGGTTAACAACTACCACTGTAGAGGTGATTTATTTCCAGTTCAGAAAACATATCAAGATTTGGAATAATCTTGTCTAGCTAATTTTGGCTGATTTAGAAAGCAAAACTGGATTTACAGAGATCAGCAGAGAATATTAGATTAGTAGGGGATATTTCATGCCAAATATGTTTTTGTTTAGGTCACCTGAATCAGACTTGGCATGACATTTGCTCTCTATCTTTGCTGTCTGATTTCATTGAGAAATTCTGTCTTTTGCAATGAAAGGATGTTTTATAAGTACTGATGTACACAAGGAGCATGTGTGGCTGTTTCAGGAGCAATGTTGATATCTCAAATAAAAATGTATCATACAAAAACAATAGCAATAGCACTTAGACTTATATACCGCTCCACACTGCTTTACAGAACTCTCTGAGCAGTCAGCATATTGTCCCCAACAATCTTGGTCCCATTTTACTGACTTTGGAAGGAAGGAAGGCTGAGTCAACCTCAAGCCCATCAAAATCGAACTCCAGACTGTGGGCAGAGTTTGCTTGCAATACTGCATTCTAACAATCTGCCTTTCTTCATGTAAACAAAGTATTCTGTCTTACAATAGAGTAGTGTCCTTCTATTAATAAAAATATGAACACGATTACTATAGATGATATATGGAATAGCTTTGAGGCAGTGGTGGTATTCAAATACCTGAACAACTGCTTCTCTTATTCGATGCAGGCCTGGGCCTCCGAGGCCTAGAAAGGACTTCCAGAAGTGGCATCCATGCACTTCTGGTGGGCTGTTCTAGACCTGGGAGGCTTCCTCCAGGCCTCTGAGAGCTAGAATGGACTTACGTAAGTGGCATCCATGCACTTCTGGTGGGCTGGGCCTGGGAGGCCTCCCAGGCCTAGACTGGACTTCTGGAAGCCAGCCAGTTCTTCGAATGCAGCAAAATTTAGCTACTGGTTCTACCAAACCGGTGTGAACCAACTGCTTTGAGGGCTCAGAGACCACCAAGAAAATGATCAGATAAAAGAAACCTAAGGATTGTAACCTGAGAAAATCTCTCAGATAAAATCTTCCAAGGAAGGAAGGAAGGAAGGAAGGAAGGAAGGAAGGAAGGAAGGAAGAAGCCCATTCACCCTTTCAAGATTCTCTTACTATAGCTTTACTATAAAAGTAGTACCGACCTACATGACGTTGGATTGTTATTCTGATCTACCCTGAAGGGCTGACAATTACCAAGCAAGCAGTCATGAATCATATTATGTCATCCCTGTATGGTAGGCCAGATGCCACTTACACCTACAATTACTTTTATTAGAATGGATCTTGCAAGTGTAAATATGCTTCCCCACCTCCCTCTTTTATCTTCCTGAGAAGTAGGCTGTGCCTGTCTGAGATGTTTTCATAAACCCTTCATATGGGCTTAAGCCATGTTATTGCCTTATCAGAGTTCCTGTAGAAAAAATAGATTTCACTCCCTCCTGTCTGGGAATTATGATAATTCAAATCTTGTACACTTGAAAGGCACCAAGTTTATCAAAAGTTGCATTAGAGTAATTTTTCGTGGATGGCGGAAAAAGACATTGACAATACCCATAACTGTCTAGAATCTGGATGATTTATTCCTATGAATTTGGAATATCAAACTTTATTTGTCCTTGTTTTCATGCTATCATCAAGCCCAATTGAAAATGTTTCTCTCCCCCATCTCCTTTTTCTTAACATGCCAGATTAAATAAAGATCTGACTGTGTGATGGAAAGAGTGAATGCATATTTTTTTCCATGTTACAAAGGCTGCAAGCAGTCCAATTCATAATGAAGGATCATGGAAAGGCAAAGAAATGACAGGGTGACAGTAGCACTTTTATTCTGTATGAACATGTGCAGGAATACTTGCCAAATATGCTTGCAGCTAAATATTTTGACTGATGATTTATGCATCAGATGATTTATTTAATAATGAAGTGATAACGCTTAATAAAGAATAAATGAAAGTTATTCCAGAGATGTCAGTGTAATACATGCATATGCATTTCAGTAAACAGAGGAGATAGAAAAACTATGGCAAGACAAGTTGCATATTTTAAGCAAAAAATTGGTCAGATAGCACCTATATTTTCTTTTAATGTTTTTCTGTTCTACACACATCTTTGCTTTAACATAATAGGGAAAAATTAGTTTTTTGTTTTAAAGATTTTGCTATTTTCTTATTGCACATTGCACATTGCATATTGCATTTGGTTGATGGGGTCTGCCAGCTTTCCCCCCCCCCAACCTCAGATCTCCTTCCTTCTGCCATTTCCTTCTCTTTCCCAGCTCTTACATTTAGTTTATAGGAGCTAAATTGTTAGTTCTTGTTTGTTAAAATCCCACCTGTACCAAGCTGTTTTTTTACTGCTGCCATTAGAGAAAACTGGATATTCCAAAGGACTGGGAGAGCTCTCTTCATATCCCTTAGCTGCCAGGTAATGCAAACTCATAGTTAATTGGGCCATAAGCTAAAATATGTTCTATATAAATCAGGGGGGTTTACATGAACATCAGAGTTTCTCTCTCCACGTACTTTGCTCCAAAGAGTAAGTGAAAAATATGAAGCAAACCAGGAATTCCCTGGTAGACAGAACTGTTATATCAGCATATATTAAGTGCCTTCCAATGGCTTAGGCAGCATAGAACATAGTCTTAATACATAGACTTTGACTTCTATATACAGGTAGCTCTTGACTTATGAGCACAATTGAGCCCAAAGTTTCGATTGCTAAGTGAGACAGTTATTAAATGAATTTTGCTCCATTTTATGACCTTTCTTGCCAGTTAACATGGTTGTTAAATGAACCTGGCTTCCCCATTGACTTTGCTTGTTAGAAGATTGCCAAAGATGATCACATGACCCCACGACACTGCAAACGTCATAAATATGAACCAGTAGCCATGCATCTGAATTTTAATCACATGACCATGGGGATGCTGCAAGGGTTATAAGTGTGAAAAATGGTTATACGTCACTTTTTTCAGTGCCGTTATAACTTTGAATAGTCACTAAATGAACTGTTGTTAGTCAAGGACTATCTGTAGTGCAGTAGGCAACATTTCTATGTGTAGGTAGCTTCAGTCTTGTCTGCAGTAAAGAGATTAATCTTGCCAAGTTGAGAACTGATTGATGTGTGAAGCCTGACAGCAAGTAAAAACAGGACAGTTAATAAATAAAATCGACTTGATTTATATTTAGCTAAAATAAACAAAATTAATATGGCTGCTTTTTAATAATTTATGTAACAATGTTTTCTTTCTGCTGTATTAAAAATTGTACCTTGGCATCAACTATTAGAGGTTTTTGGGTGCTGCAGCTATCTCTCCTCTAAACTATGCAAATTAAGAATTTTCTAGCCTTAGAAAATTGGTAATCCAGTAATATGTTAGTCTTCAAGATACTATTATTCTTTCTCTCTTTTCTTAAGTAAATATTCAGTCTTCCTTGAATTATGAAAAGGCACTTCATTACTTAATTTAGATAACATTTCTTTACTGCCAGTTCCTATCACCATTTGATTCATTGTTATTTCTTGAAAAAGCTAAGTGTGTCAAGCCATTGCAGTGTATAATGGACTTTGTAAAACAGTTTTTAAATTCTGCTTTCTTTTTCTTCCTTTTTACAGAGGCAAATCCTGAAAAATTCAACAGCCGGTTTCGAAATAAAATGTTTTATGCCGGGGTGAGTTGACATAGTCTCTTTCACCTCTGATTTCTTTTTTTCTTTTGAGCAATTAGCAATAAATAAATAAGCCAGTATCGTTCTAAGAGCTCAGTCCAAGGCATATCTAATGAGAAAAAATGTCTATTGAGTTCAGTAGGTCTTAAAGCTACTTATATTTGCATATTGCATTATCGCATCAAAGCTTTAAAAAGGAACAAGGGTTTTGTATAGATTCTAAGAGAAAAGCAACACTGGCTACTTTTCCTGTGGACTTGTACTTTAGACGAGGAATCAGAAAGACACTTTAGATATAGTTTCATCTATCAGAGTGCTTCTGCCTTTATACTATTTATTAGATTTTTTTTAAAAAAATCCCCTTTATTACTTTATAAGTAACCCAAGGGGGCAAGCATACACAGTATGGCTCCCTCCTCCTATTTTCCCCATAGCAACAGCCCTGTGAAGCCCAACCAGTTTTTATGCCTAAGACAGGACTAAAGCAGAGGTCCCCAACCTTTTGGGCTCCAGGGACCGGTTACATGGAGAGAGGTTTTTCCATGGACCGGAGGGGACGTGATTTTGTGTGCTGCCTGCATCCTGCAGATAGGGCTTTGCTTGTTTGTGCGGACCTGTTGCTGGCATGCCGTGGTCCGGTACTGGTCCACGGACCAGGGATTGGGGACCTCTGGACTAAAGCACACAGACTCCTGGTTTCTAGCTTGATGCCTTATCCAGTAGACCAAACTCTCTTCATGGTGTCATACCATTCTAAGTGTATTCAGTTATGGGTACTACTTTGATCATTGACTGCTTGTAAATAGAAGCTTTATGCAGCCAGAAGCCTTCAGAAAAACTCAACCAAATGCCCATGTTAAAAATAAGCTAATGCATCCAGAAGCCAATTTTTCATTCTTCTGTCAATGTATTGAACTGATACAGGATAAAGACAAGAAGGAGGAGAGTGTGAATTATCAGACACAGAATACTGATTATGCTTCTGGTGTATTTTGGTCTTATTTTCCATTCTGTTTTCTTAATGTCTTCCAACTCCTTGCTTCCAAATGCTTCTATAACTGATAACAGGGAAAATAAGTCATAATCCAGAGAAGAAATCATATACTTTGTTTTGCACAGAGTGCTCTCTATGGCAGGGGTCTCCAACCCCCGGTCCATGGACCAGTACCGGGCCCCGGCATGCCAGCAACCGGTCTGTACAAACAAGCAAAGCCCCATTCACAAGATGCAAGCAGCACACAAAACCATGCCTACTCCGATCTGTGGAAAAACCTCTCTCCATGTAACCGGTCCCTGGTGCCCAAAAGGTTGGGGACCTCTGCTCTATGGGGCAAGTTTACTTAAAGTTTTGCACTTGATGTTCTAATAGTATTGTCAAAACTTTCAGGAAAAATTATATTTCATCTTTCTGTATTTCTTCTGTTCCTGTGTAATCTAGGCAGCTTTTTCAGATTTCCTTCAGAGAAGTTCTAGAGATTTATCCAAACATGTGAAAGTTGTGGTAAGTATATTAGAGAATTTTGTGTCTTTCAATGACTATAATCTGGGAAATGACCTGTCAGCTTGAACACTTTGTCTGAAGCCTAGAAAAAAAAATTAAAGAACATTTTTATTCATATTAACATGAGTAAAGGTCATTTTAATTTATATTAACAGGAGTGAAGCTAATCGGTTTGGTGCCTGGACTGACCATTTATAATAGAAACAAATCTCCAATCCCTTTAAACCAAAACAAACAATAAAGAGAGAAATAATTTCAGGGGCTACACTATCTTATCTTCCAGGCATAATTGAAATTTCCTTGTTTGTCATTTGTTTATGCACATGGAATTTATTAAAGTTGTGCAAATCTTTAAGTGGGGCTTTGCTAAGAAAGGATTGAGGAAACCACACTCTCGAATCTGCTTTGTAAAACAAGGCCGGGTCCTCCCTTGTGAGAGCAAAGTCCTCAGATTTCACTTGCTTCATTTCTCTTCTTGAGCAGTTGGAAGTAGCTGGAAGAGACTTTTCCACATGAGCTGCATCTGCAGAATAATGTCTTCTGGCTTTGAGAAATGCTTAGGAAGGCTATGATTGGCTGATTATGTGCCATCAAATCATTTTCAACTCTTAGCAACCACATAGCTTTCCCCCATGATGATGTGTCCCTAACCTGATCCTTCAAATCTTCTAATGGTGCCATTTCCATGGTAACTGAGTCCATTTACCTTGGTCCACTGTCTTCTTTTCTGTCCTTTAACCTTTGCCAGCACTAGAGCCTTTTCCAGAGAGCTGGGTCTTCACATAATATGTTTGAAGCACGATAATTTGAACCTGGACATTTGTACTTTGAGTGCTTCTGGGGAAGACTGTAAAGTAACCAAAAAAAAAAATCTCTGTGGGAAAAATGAAAGATTCGTCACACAGGTCTAATCTTTCTTGCTTGCAGCTTCACCTAGCAATAAATAAAGTAAAATAATGAAGGGGAAACAAGACATGGGGGTTTGGGTAAGGCTGTCATCATTTTTATTGAATTGTAGAGTTTTGAAAATGTGTGGGCATTATTAATGTGCTTCAGTGTGAAGGGTCCCAATCCTATTCTGATTTTGGCAAGAATTGATTGATTGTCTTTTTTCCTAGCTGGCTGAGCTTTTTTTACATGTTGAAGGATATCTTTCTGAGTCATAGAACCTAGAATTATATGGTTTATACTAGTCTGGATTCATATAATATATTAGACTAAGCCAAAATGTGGTTGGATTATGTATGATTCAGCATATTGTAGAAACCCTGCAATTGTTTTGGTACTATGACCAATCACTGTGTTAAGCTATTATAGAAAAATGATTTGCTTAGGTATTTATGTCCTGTGAACAGAAGTATTGTTCTTTTTTTTAACTCATATTGTATGAATCGACAGTAGATGCATGATTCAATCAGTCACTGAAAGGATCTCATTTCTTATGCCTTGAAGTTCCCCAGACCTGGCAGAATATCTTTCATAATCTTGGTAACATTGATGATTTGTTAGAGTAACAACAACACAATGACCCCATTGCAGAGCCTCTAGAACATATATTGGCCAAATGGATGTTGTTACACCAATAAGCATGCTGCTGAAGATAGAAGGTGCTTAGGAACAGAAAAGGTATTCAATGTGGTATCTTCCAAAGTATATTTCCACCTGCCAGACCCTTTTATTCCAATCAAATAACCTGAATCTTACACTGCAACTTACTGAGATTCTACACATGTTGTGTTTTCAGGGCACTCTGATTTGTACTGGATATCCACTGCTCCAAGACTGTATTCTTTTCTCAACTTTCAGGATCCTGTTTCTCATCAACTGGTTACTCTATTATGAAGTTTATCTGTTCATATTTGCTTTCATTTTCTTTTCTTACTCTCTGGCAGTGTGATGGGACTGACTTGACTTCCAAGATTCAGGAGCTGAAATTTCAATGTATAGTATTTTTAAACATACCCAGGTAAATAATTTTTATTCAGCATCTTAACCACTATACCATAATGGCTCTCAACTTTGTGTGTCAGCCTACCAAATATCTCAGGTAAACTCTGATTCATCTCGTTTGTCTGAGGACCACTAATACCATCTCAACTTTTTAATATATCTCCTAATTCTTCCTCTCTTCCTGTCCTTTAATTCAATAGCTTTCCTAGGCATTTATGAGTGCTGTGGTCACAGTTTATTTGTTGAAGGCCAGCAGATAAAATCAGTTATGAGTCCAAAGAAACTCTCAAGCCTAAACTGTTTTTTTTTTTGTTATTCTGTCAAATAGTACTTCAGTCCTTATATTCGGATCAACGAATATAACCCAATTCTAACCCAAATCTTGTTTTTTTTAAGCTTCAGCTTTCCCCAAATAAATAAAGCAAATTGTATTTATTAGGAATTTCATAGCCCATCAAGGATTAGTTAGTGGAAGACTAGGCAATCTGCATAATGACAGGGTTGCAGTCCAAATCTCATGATGTGATTTTATCCAAATCTCATGATGTGATTTTATCAAGAGCTTGAAAACACTGCTTGTGAACTTTACTGAATGAAGAATGAACTTGGTCTTGTTTAGCTTAAGACGGGAAGAGACACAGAGAGAATAAATTTATTCTGATGTTTTTTTTAAAATCTGCTCTTCTTGTCTGATCATCTGCCTTTCTTCAAATCCATATACTGTGTTTCCTTATCCTTCCTTAACACTCAGTTTATTTTTCCGACTTGTAGTATGACCACTGTCAATCTCTGTCCCCAATAGGTCTGCAGTTTTTCAGCCATTTCCAGTCCTGTCTTTAATCCCCTATGAAGAATTAAAACAAAACAAAATAAAAGAGTCAACTTCTTCATTTCATGAGTGAAATACTCAGTGTTTGTTGTTAGAATATTGTGGATATATCACAATGTATCATAATAACACAGCACTTTCCTGACCCACTTTTTAAAAAGTATTGTTGCACAAGCAGCCCATAATACATCATTTCCAGAAGAGGCTAACCTTGTCAATGAGTTCACTGAATCTGCCTGCCAGAAAAGTAAGGTAACAAAGGATTTGGACTTTTGTAAGAATAGATTTTTTTTTAAAGTAGTGTTTGAGAATTTTTATTTTTAAATTGAACAGGGTCAGCACAAATTCTCAACATACTTTTCGGGGGGACCATCTGGAGATAGTTATGCTGACCTTTCTTCATCTGTGCTGTATCAGACCATCTATGCAGGAGAAACATTTCATAAATAAGCTGCAATGAAAAAGAGCTAGTTTGATATAATGGTTAAAGGCATCAGCTACAAATGGGAAGCCCATTTGGTTTTTGTTTTGCCTTAGACAGTAGGTCAGTCTCCTTCTCAACTCTGAGAAGAAGGTAGTGGCAAGCCGTTTTTGAAAATGTTGTCAAGAAAATTGCATAGGCATGTCCAGATAGTTACCAGGACTTAAGAGTGATTTAAAGATGTGTGTATGTGCAAACACAGAGACACAGTTTCTTTCTCTCTCTCTCTCTCTCTCTTTTGGCTATTTTTTTTTGTAGAGTTAATGTTTTTCAAAAACAAGTGAGAATTCATAGGGTGCAGGATACGTGTTCTTACTGCTGTATACATTGCCAAAATTAGAGGGTAACACGGCTGGATTTCAGTGGTATAGTGTTCAGTGTTCAGGTTTTGGATGATTTTAAGGAATGTCTTAGTGAACCCTTCTTTTTGCTCAGAAAGTCCAGGCCAAAAATTTTTGGGCTCTTTTTAGTGATGTCTCACCATCATCATCAGACCTTCAGTGGACTTCCAGAAGGTCAGAAGTATGAACTGAAGCCCTCTCAGCCCTTCAAAGGCTACCCAACCTGATCCAAAGTAATCACTCTCACTGCTTTCCTCTTATTCTAACAAAATAAACATATGCATTGATATGTTTATCTATTCTTCTATAGTAAATTCCTAACAGTACCTGAAAGATTCGTCAACTTCTATTTTGCAATAAACTGAGTGTGACTGTATGAGTAGCATAGCCCAAGATTATATAGACTTGTTGCCATGACTATGACCATTGCTGCCTCTATTACCTTCTTTTCCACTGCCTCAATATCTCATTTGGGAGGTTCTTTCCCCAATGTGAGACTCCATGAGTAAGCATCTATAGAGATCACCTATGTCAACCACTATTTGAGCCTAAAAAGTATATCAGAGAATAGTGATGTGGTTCCAGAATACCAGCCTATATTGATAAAATTATCTTGAAGGGTTTGTATTTTGAGCCATCAAAAGATGGGGCTTTGCTTGTTTGTGCGGCCTAGTTGCTGGCATGTCACGGCCCGATACCGGTCCATGGACCGGGGGTTGGGGACCCCTGCTCTAGAATATGAACTCTAATGTAGATGCTTTTGAAGGCACATAGTTCTCACCCAGATTTTGCATCTTATTCAGAGAACTGCATCAAAATGCAAGGTATTCCACCTAGAATGGAAGGTGTGCAGATGGTGGGTCAAGTTCAACCTGTTCCTTCCAATACAACTTGAATATCTTTGTCTTTTCTCTGAGATTTACACACTTGTATACATCAAAATAATCTAACTGTGGTGCCATGTATCCCTAGCTCACTTGAAAGAATGAAACTTCACTCTGAGAGTCCTTCCTATATCAATAAAATAGATTAGATGAAGATAATTAGTCCTTGACTCAAAGGCAAGTCTACATTCTATGTGGAAAAGTGACTCCTATTTTTTTTCTGAACACTCTGTAACAAAGGAAAGAAAGATCTCTGAGCTCTCAGAAGTCATTTGTACAGAACAAAGCTACATATGTGCTTGATTATATAAATTTTTGCTAAAGATAAAATTGGCTGAATGTTCACTGAAGTCCTTATAGCTTCAACTTCTTTCTATAGGTATTGTGCTGGCACAATGCCCTGGGGTAATCCAGGAGACCATAGAGAATTTGAACCTCAGAGACATGATGATGGTTTCATTGAGGTCATTGGATTCACCATGGCATCCTTGGTGGGTATTTTTTTTATAAATTTCTTCTCATACTAGTTACTGGACTATTAGGCAATCAGAGCAAAAGAGAAAAACCATACAAAATGAACAAAATGGCTATTGGCAGTGAACATTATGCATGTGGTAAAAAAAAAAGCCATTAGGAGGATTTATTGGGATTGAATTGAAGACAGACTGGGATTGAATTGAAGACAGACTGTTGTAGGCTATTAGCAAGATAGCTCTGTAATGAAAAGTGGGATATTGGCTACACAATTTGGCCATCTTCTATCTAAGATAAGGCAAGAATTGCACACCCTATCTAAGAATCTTCTAAAACTTTCTTTTATTTTGGAAAGGGAAGAAAGGAAGAAAGAAAGATCTACATGCAATATTTCCTCTCTTTTCTCCTTCTTTATGTCATGGAAAGGCTGCTCTTCAAGTTGGAGGTCATGGAGAGAGGTTACATCAGTGTCGGGAAGTGACTCTACTAACATATAAGTCTATCCCCATGCAAGTGGATGGTGAACCATGTCGGCTGGCTCCATCGCTCATCCGAATCTCCCTTAGGAATCAGGCCAATATGGTGCAGAAAAGCAAGAGAAGAACATCCATGCCTTTGCTCAATGAGTAAGTTGGTAACATGTGCTTTTTGGTAGAGGGAAAACGTAAATGTGAGATGTCACAAATGTGAGGTGAATGGTACTCAGGAAAGAATTAAGGAAGTAGCAACTATAATGAATCTGTATAACTTTGTATGGAGAATTTGAATGGCTCCCCTCTTTTTCTCAAAACTTGTGCCTCAGGTGTTTCCATCTCCTGTAATGACTGCCATGCTTCATGTTAAGTACCTTGCACCTTCCCTAAAGATAGAAGAGATCATGCAACAAAACACTGAGAACTGACCTTGTGAAAATGAATCTCTAATAATAATTAATTACACTAGTCTCTTTCTTTTAATTTCTATTTCCCATTATGTTCCTTCTTGGGCTGAATGAACATTTCCAATCCTGCTTTAAGTCTCTTGAAACGAAATAGCATTTGTTTGCTGTACACCCCACTTTTGGACTTAGCATGCTAACTCATTTGTAAATCATAGATGTGAGGTCCTTTGCTGTAAACTATTGACATGGGGATATGATCACAACTTTCCTGTCATTTGATTTAAAAGACAAAGGACTTGTATGCACAACTAGACTGCTCCAACATGCATATGAGGCACTAACTTTCTAAAAAACTGAAACATAAAATGTGATCCTTCATGCGGTACATCCCTAGCTGGCTGGTAGGCAACTTTTATTACTTTTCCTGCTATGTATCCAAAATAGAGTTTTCTGAATTGGGCTAGCACAAATGGTGCTGTCTAGTTTGCCTGCTGCACATTGTTGTACTCTACTATAGTTGGCTACAGTGGATTGTGTCAGGACAGCCTGCCCCTTTCTGGTCATTGCTTGCTGTCCTCATTGGCCTTTTTGTCCTTAGCTGGCAGGCACTTACTCTTCTAAAGGGTTTAATCAGAGGACCAATGAAACTGGAGTTTTTTGTTTTTTTTTTACAAATTGACTAGAGATTGGGGAAAAAATCCTGGGTTTTCCCCCCAAACATGTTCATTGATGAAACGGTGAAATGGTGGATCTTTTTTTTTTAAGGCTAGATATAATGGATAAGAGTTCTGCTAATTGTCCTTTACAACTTTAGGCCCAGTACTCGTCAATATCTTCATAAATGACTTAGATGAGGAAACCGAAGGGTAACTCATCAAATTTGCAGATGACGCTAAGTTGACAGAAATAGCCAAGACCCCAGAAGACAAACTCAGGATCCAAAAAGATCTTGACAGACTTGAGCAATGGTTCCTATCCAACAAAATTATATTTAATGTGGAGAAAAGCAAGGTTTTACACCTGGGCAGGAAAAACCAAAGGTACAAGACGGATTAGATGAAACCTAACTCAAAAACAGTAACTGTGAGAGGGACCTTGGAATCCTAGTGGACGATCACTTAAATATGAGCTAGCAGTGTGCAGCAGCAGCCAAAAAAAGCTAATACAATCCTTGGTTGTATAAACAGACACATAGAATCAAAATCACATGAAGTATTAGTACTGCTTTATAAAACCTTAGTAATACCACGCATGGAATACTGCATCCAGTTTTGGTCACCTCATTACAAAAACAATGTTGAGACTTTGGAAAAAGTGTAAAGAAGAGCAACTAAGATGATTAAAGGCCTGGAGACTAAAACATATGAAGAACGGTTGCAGGATTTGCATATGGCCAGTCTAGAGAAAGGAAGGACCAGGGGGGACATGATAGCAATATTCCAGTATTTGAGAGGCTGCCACAAGGTGGACGGGGTCAATTTACTTTCCAAAGCACCAGAAGGAAAGACAAGAAACAATGGATGGAAACTAATCAAGGAGAGAAGCAACCTGGAATTAAAAAGAAACTTCCTAACAGTGAGGACAATTAACCATTGGGTGCTTCATCACTAGAGATTTTTAAGAAGAGACTGGACAGTCACTCGTCTGAAATAGTATAGGGTCTCCTGCTTGAGCAGGGGGTTGGACTAGAAGACCTTCAAGGTCTCTTCTGATTGACTGATAACTCATGTGACAGGTAGAATGATAAATGGTCTCTCCTCTCCTCTCCCCTTCCCCCTCCCCTTTCCCCTTTAAAGAAAGCTTTAAAGATTTTGAAATTTGTTATTATTTTGACCCAGCAATAAATCCTCCAATTTACTCCAGTCCTGCTTGAAGTAACTTGAAAGTTTTTCGGGTCTGTTTTTGTGTCTTTTATGAAACTATTTATTTTGCTTCCAAACTACTCAAATATCAAAGCAAGGACAAGAAGCTTCAGATGGACAAGATTTAGCATCATTACATTATATTACTATTTTCATTTGCAAGTGCTTTTATGCTGCTTCAATCAAAAATGAGTCTGACATCAAGCCACAGTTTTCTGCTTTTCACCTTTTTTCTCTCCTGTAAACTCTAAGACATTTTTTAAAGGTGGCTCAGTAATAATAAGCTAGGGAGAAGGCAGAAATAAAAGTCTGAATGATGAATACTCGCTGTTACAAGAAAGTTTAGAAAAATAGTATTCTGTAATATGGCAAACACATAATATATCAACTATGGCCGGGAATATCACTAGTAAAATAAATATATACTGCACTATAAGTTATGAGGTCCTAGAAACTGGAACCTTCTGGACACATTAAGATCACATCTGTCTGGAATCTTAGGACTTGCATTCCAAACACATCTGGCAATACTGTACTATCATGAGGAACACTGCTTTATGGATTTTTAAATTGTTATTGGGTCATATGTATGGAAGTTCATATTCTCAAGAAACAAACTCTTCTGAAAATTTCTATGCTCCACCATAGGTCCTGATGTCTATTGTGTGCCATAGAAGAGGCATCTTTCCACCTTTATCATGGTACTATCACCACATATGAAATCCAGGTAGCTGGATATTTAACAAAATCTATTATTTTCACCTAGAATCAAGGATGTTGAAATAGTTTATTAATAGTGGCAGCTCTTTCTGCTTTGTGTTTGTTCTTGTGAGAGGAAATGATATAATGCAAGAATTATGACATATGAGCCTGTCTCAAGATAATTGTGCATGGTCCTGTCAGCTTATTTGGACCTAAGCATATGCTAGATGGATTGTAATTGCATTTGGTTTTCATTTATCTTGTTTTGGTACAGAGTGCCAATGGCTCTACAAAATGTATATAGATAATTATCTGCAAAATGTATTGATAGCTGACCTGGAAAAAAAACACTATACTTGGTCATGTGGTACAATGCCTGTCTTCCTACTTCAGCTTCTATCACAGTGTTTATCAACCTCGGCAACTTTAAGATTTGTGAACTTTAACTTTAACCCCCAGAATTTTTGCAGCCAGCCAGCATGCTAGGTGTTGAACTCCACACATCTTAAAGTTGCTCAGGTTGAGAAACAATGTTCTATCAGAACAGTCTGGTAGAAGCCATAATGAAGTTACGCATGCCAAGATATCATTATATCTGGATGACTGGAAGTTCTCAGTCATCCAGGTCATGGTTGTCCCAAAGGTGCTTTTTGAAAAGGCAACTGGACTTTGTTTTTTCCTTGAAGATATTTTGCTTCTCATCCAAGAAGCTTCTTCAGTTCAGAACTGAAGATGCTTCTTTGATGAGAAGTGAAACCTCTTCAAGGAAAAACAAAGTCCAGTTGACTTTGGGACGATTATGCAAATTATGCAAATTATGCATAATTATATTATGACACCTGTAATGATACTTTTCTTCCTTATCCTTCCACAGATAGCTATGCCAACAAGGAGAAAGGGTGAGAGAAAGTTAAGGCCTGTGGTAGGGGATCTAAGTATAAAGTATTTTCCTGGTTCAGGGAAAGAACTTAAACAAGTTTTATTTTAAATCATGTCTCCTACATTTTTCTGCCAGTTTTCTGCATATATATCCTGATCCTAACTTCTTTGGCTGAGAGACAAAATGCTAATAAAGAAAACAAAAGAGGGGACAAATTTGATTAAAACAGACATAAGCTTTTAAAATATTTATTTTATATGCATAAAAGGGAAAAAGAAAAGAGGAAAAAAAGACTCTCAATGCTTAAAACTTTCATATGCTAATGAAAGATAGTCTCACACATACATTTATGCCAACTTATATAATTAAATTCACATATAAGTCAGTTTACTGAATGATAAAAATGGAAAATGAACCATATAAACTAGGATTTGCAATCCAAATGTCTAAAAACTCACAAAATATCAAGTCAAAAGAAGCATTTGGGTATAATTAAAAAGAATATGAGCATTTACAAAAACCAGCGGATCTCTCAGAACAAAAATAATATATCAAATTCCTTTGTTCCATAGGGAGCAATAATAGCATATTAACTAATAGTGCATGTTGTATCTTCAACCATTAGCTTCTCCAAAAAGGTGCAGAAGCATTCATTGTCAATGAAATATGAATTTTTGTTGAATTAATTGTAACTTGGAAAGAGATGTGAGTTCGGTTAGTAAACAGTTATTATAATTTATTGTTTGATACATTTAGTTATATACAATTGGCATTCACTATGCAAAGTGAATAATGAATGTAATTATTAATGGAAGATTATGTTTATTTTATTACTAATTAACAGTATTGATATGCTGATGGTTTTTGAAGACTCTTTGCTGTTTACAGCATAATACAAAAATAAAACATAAGCTGAAATCAACCCCACCCCAATTAAATATCAACCATTGAAAGCTCTATGAAAGATTTTAATTTCAATTGATTGACTGATTGATTTTATGTTATCAAGTGGTTGTCAAGTCCTAGTGACCCAGCATGTTGGCTGGGGGATTGTAGAAGTTGAAATCCACATATCTTAAATTAGCCAAGGTTGAGAAATATGGTCCAGAAGAATACTATGAGAAATGATATTGAATTCTGAAAATCACCTGATGCAAAACAATGCTTAAATGAAAGAACTTTAAACCTGAGACCTGATTTAATTATTCAGCCTAATAGGGGAGGCCATGTGTTAATTGGCATATCAAAATAAGTCGGAGTATTGAACAAGGGATGAAGAATTATTAGTTTGTTTAGTTTAAA